TAATTTTCACAATTCAAAAAAAATCTTTCTTTGCTATTGAACCAAATGCTAAAGATAGAATATCATTAAAAGTTGTCTCATACAATTTAAATATATACCCTGATGCTGAGTTTTGATCTAATCTATTAATATTAGGAACAACTCACCCAACCATTATATTATTGAAATGATATCATTCAAGACAGTCTTCATATACATTAATTTTTTTTTCATAGAGAGCCGAATAAGAAGTAAAGGAAAATGATTTATCGATTAAGTCAAATTACTGCTATTTTATGCAGTATGTACCCATTACTGAAACACACTTCACCACTTCCTCATATATATCATAAAAACGAAAATACTATACTGTCCTAATCTTGCTATTTGACAAAATTTTCTTCTACTTGATTTTCAGTGATGCGCGTCATAGCTCTCGTTTACCGTACTAGCGAATCACTACCATTCTACTGGAACATTACTAGTACATTAAATGGAGTCAATACAATGCTATAAGTGTGAAACGTCAACATCTCGACAAAAATAATTTGAAATTAAGGTCTCGGCAAAGCTACATGGTGATCAGTTAACCAGTCTTCAAAGATGATGAATAAATTTAACATAAAGCAACAATTTTGGTATTAAAAGAAAACATGTATTTGAGCACAGGTTGAGCTGGGATGAAAGTGTCAAAGTTAGTTGCAATTTAAATCAACATTCACTATAAAAATCAAATAATATATGACTGGCTTATTTCAAACATAAACAAAAAGTACTTCGATTTTTCAAGAAACTTGCTGAGTTAACAGATTACATTCAGTGGTGAAAATACAAAGGTAAACTGCATCAATCCGTAAAGCATGTATATCAATACTGTACAATATGTATACGTTATTAATTGAGTATTGAAAAGCAATTATATGGCAAGTGTTCAACGTTTATGACAAATCAATCGATCGATCGATCAATCAATCAATCAAATCTTTATTTTCTACATAAAGAGAGATCATTTACATTTACAGCTATTAGGGAACATGCCAGAAAGAGAGACGTTTAGCAACTTACATTGTTGATTTCGGAAAGCATTCCAGAAAGTCACGATACAAATAAACTAATACAGATGGGTCAAGTACAAATAGAATATCAATATATATATATATATATATATATATATATATATATATATATATATATATATATATATATATATATATATATATATATATATATATAGATGCAATAAACTGACGACGAACAGTACGAAACTAGTAACTAACTAGCCTAAGCGCTTTCGACTCTTAATGAGTCTTTTTCAAAGGCAAATACAAAACATAGTTACGACAAACAAATAAACACAAAAACGTTGCGTTTGTAAACCTCTACATTTCTATCTTCACATGTGTTAAAACTATAAATACAACCAGCTTGTGTAGACTAGTTGCGGAAACTGAAAACGTTGTACAATTCCCCAAAAGTCCACAAGCCAAAGCGACATCTATTTTTATTTTGTGCACATATGTAACGCAGATTATATCCCGGATATCCGGTTCTATACCGGCCACTCCCACAGCAAAAACCGAAGGATAAGAAGACCCAGAAAATGTTAAATTCCACTAGTGCACAGTTTTCATTCTCCAGTCTTCTTGGTTTAGACCGCTTGGTTTCAATGTTCCAAGGCGGCGTATCCAGTATGATTCCCTTTCCCTCCTGGTTTCGGAACTCCAGCTGTGGTTGTTGGCAATAGCGATAAGTATTATATCACTGAAAGTGTGGCCAGGGGAGGAGAAGTGTTCTGCGACCGGGCTTCTGTACAGCTTTTTTGTCATCCAATCAGATCTATGAAGGTTTATCCTTATGTGTAGCTTTTCAGTTTCTCCCACGTACTGAAGGCCACAGATCTTACATGTGATGAGATAAATCACATTCTTTGTTTTGCACGTTTTGTTTGGACCATGTATGTTTAGTTTTTCTTTATTTATTTGTTTGTCGTAACTATGTTTTGTATTTGCCTTTGAAAAAGACTCATTAAGAGTCGAAAGCGCTTAGGCTAGTTAGTTACTAGTTTCGTACTGTTCGTCGTCAGTTTATTGCATCTATTTTAATTAATCCCTGACAAACGTGATCCCTTGGTGGATCCAGTACGCTTGAGAGGGTTGTTATTCGCCATATGATTTGTATTCTTTATATATATATATATATATATATATATATATATATATATATATATATATATATATATATATATATATATATATATATATATATATAAAGAATGCAAACCATATGGCGAATAACAAAATTTCAAGCGCACTGGATCCACCAAGGGATCACGTGTGTCAGGGATTGATTAAGATAGATGCAATAAACTGACGACGAACAGTGCGAAACTAGTAACTAACAAGCCTGCGTGCTTTCGACTTTTAATGAGTCTTTTTCAAAGGTAAATACAAAACATATATAAAGCAAACAAATGAACCCCAAAACGTTGTGTTTGTTAACCTCTACATGGCTGTCTCCACATCCGCAGTATCCGCAACAAGTCTATACAAGCTGGTTTATTGCAAATATATATATATATATATATATATATATATATATATAAATATATATATACATACATATATACATACATATATACATATATACATATATAAATATATATATAGATATATATATATATACATATATATATATATATATAGATATATAGATAGATATAGACACACCACACACACACACACACACACACACACACACACACACACAGCACGGGTCCATTAATGATCATAGACCAGTGGGAGAAAAATGTAATCGCCACAGTGGCGTTATCACTTTTATCGCCACAGCTGTGATATCACTTTTGAAACTTTATTTTTCTATGTAGGAAGTACATCTACCCTTATGTTTGTTATTCATACACGTTTTTCATATTTTGGTATATTTCACTTTCTTCTTCTTCTTCTTCTTCTTCTTCTTCTTCTTCTTCTTCTTCTTCTTCTTCTTCTTCTTCTTCTTCTTCTCTCATGAAACGATCTACAATGTATAAGAACTACTGACCATCCTATATACACTTATGTAATCATTTAGAATGTGCCAGCATGAATTCCTAAAACTAGAAATCAAATTGTAGGCTTCAAGTATTAGCTTTCTATATATACTTATGAAATCATAAATTCTAGATCAGTCGTGTACTTTCTCCCTGGATATATATCTAGTTAAAAATATTGACCTCTTTTGTTTTAATCAGTTCTACCAATCAACATGATTGCCAATGTTTCAGAAAACTGTGTCAGTAATATTTGGACTTCCTCCATTTATTATTCAAGTATTTCTTTTTCAAACACATTAAAGAATTTGATTTTGCGATCTTAAAATTCAAGTACTTTGAAAGTTTCTCAAAAATCTGCACGAACAAACGAACACACGATAAATCGAGGGATATACAGAAAGATAGGTGTATCTACAAAAATATAAATCTTCCCGAAATATTGACCAGGATTTCATGTTCAACCACTTTGATCTTTTCCGTTGGAGAGAGAGAGAGAGAGAGAGAGAGAGAGAGAGAGAGAGAGAGAGAGAGAGAGAGAGAGAGAGAGAGAGAGAGAGAGAGAGAGAGAGAGAGAGAGAGAGAGAGAGAGAGAGAAACTGACTTACTAGTCAGATAAAAACTCTGTCAGGATGGTTGGACATCCAAAAGTTTAGTTATTACATAATAATAACTTTCACCACAGCTGTTCTTGTTCAATCATGATGTATTTTTAGTCGCCGAATACGTGACACATATATTAATTGCTTCTATCTTGAAAGACTTTTTTATTTTCACTTCTTCACCAGTTACTCTATCTACACCGAACGTGATCCAAGGACATACTGAATAAATACAGTATATAGGTATACAAAGTCAGTATCAATTTACAACATATCAGTCAGATTGAGTAAATAGGCTTGCATATTGTAGAAAGTAGGCTAAGTGGTTAAATTCTACACAGGTCATAAGTAGCTAAAGAAACGCTCGATAAGTTTTTCAATTAATAGTATTATAGTATTTGGAATTAATACTGTTTAAACAAAGCTGTTTTTTCAAGCTACGCAAGATGTGTATGTTTATGTCGTTCACATAATGATACTTAAATTGGTTAAATTGGTTCACGAAAATGTCAGCCAAGAAAAACTTTGATTTAGGCGATGTAAGAAGACTTTCACGTCCCTAACTTATCGTCTGAGTTTAAACCAATAAGGCACGATATAGACAAATTGCCAAGTGTGATGTGATGTGATTATGATTTTTAACGTAGCTTTAACAATTTTTCAGTCCTATCGTTACGATGTCTGCAGAGTGACAGTTTATGGTGATGTCTAGCACTGGGGCATCATGCCGCGGACATGTAGCTTGATGTCCCACCCAGCCCAGTCACATTATCCTGACACCAGGCCGACCAGTCCTAACAGTAAGCTCTTAATGCTGAGCGTCAAGCGAGGCAGCTGTTAGTACCATTTTTGTAAGCCTTTGGTATGACTCGACCTGGGATCGAACCCACGACCTCCCGCATCCGAGGCGGACGATCTAAACACTTGGCCAAGAACAAGAACTCTAAAATCACGGTAAAATTCTGAAAGTTTGTCTTTTATCTTCTCTGGCTTCTTTTTTTCTTGAATGCTTCTGTTTTGTAACTGCTTTCTAAACAGGCCCAATTGGAGTTGAAAGCGCTTGCGTTGTTTGAACATGTGAGAAAGCTTGCTAGTAGCTTTTCGTTGGTCGGTGGTTCTTTCCGAGGATTTTCCGGTTTCTTCCTCCACCATTAATAATGGCCGCCATGTATAGCCTATCGTGTGCTGAAAAATGGCGTTAAGCCCCCCCCACCACCACCACAACAACAACAAGATATTTCTCCACTGTTCATTGTTATCTCTTTTACGGTTATCATAACCAATGCGCGACACACGCGATTCATTGGTGGATCCTTAGAAGGATTGTTATTAGACACGCGATTTGTATTATTATCTCTCTGATAAAACAAATCGCTTCGGTGGCATAGTGGTTAGAACGTCCGCCTCGGATGCGGGAGGTCGTGGGTTCTATCCCCGGTCTAGACATACGAAAGACTTACAACGATTTTTCTAACAGCTGCCTCGCTTGACGCTCAGCATCAAGAAGTTAGTGTTAGGACTGGTCGGCATGCTGTGAGGATAATGTGACTGGGCTGGGTGGGACATCATGCTACGTGCCTGCGACATGATGCCCCAGTGCTAGACATCACTATAAACTGCCACACTGCAGACATTGTAGGGGTATAACTAAAAAATTGTTAAAAGCTACGTTAAAAATCCAAATCACATCACATCACATCACATATTATCCAACTGCAATCCATACGATGAACGATATGAGTCTGGAGGTTATACACGCGAGTCGAAATTTATAAGTTTAAGTTATTAAATATTTTCCCAAGGCCTGCTTCAAACGATGCGAATATATTTTGACTAATTCAATTGCAAAACAATAGTTATATCTGATGTTTTTGTTTGTTGCTTTGTGTTTTCTGTCAAGTGATACTTAATACAGTGAAACCTCTCAAAACCGAAACCTCAACCTCACTATATCGGAATCCCCCTCAAGACTAAATATTACGTTACTCCAGAATGTTTCCTTCCTTAAAATAGTAATTTTCCCTCAATAAATCAGTCATGTGGCATCGCTGTTGCTACTTTGCTGGCGGAGTCATACAAGGCATAAATTCTAAAAATCAGATTCACTCATTGGCATACCCTGAAGTTTTAGATTTTATACGATTACTAAGGATGAACGTTATTTGGCGATGGCACGGAAATGGAGTTATTGAAACAAGCCACACTTTCGTTTGTTAAAGAAAGATGTAAGTAATGACAGACTTCGCTCCACGCCTTCTTGAATCCAGATCATGAAACATGAACACCATGCAAGTGCAGAGTATTTAAACATTATGGAGTATCATGCATGAGTATAACGGAGTTATAGTAAAGTTATAAAATATCTCGTTCCTCAGACGTTACTTGTGACAAGGACTGTGTTTCAATGTGGAACAAATGTATTTATGTATGTCACAGGATGTGATATTCTGAACGAACGTATATGATACGTTGTGATATTCAGAAAGAACGTATGTTGTTCAGCTAATTCTTCACGAAATACATGTATTAAAAAAAAAACAGCTTTTAATTTGTGCTTCTCTCTCTCTCTCTCTCTCTCTCTCTCTCTCTCTCTCTCTCTCTCTCTCTCTCTCTCTCTCTCTCTCTCTCTCTCTCTCTCTCTCTCTCTCCGCCCGACCCGGATCTAAACCGCTCTTTTTTTTATTGATCACTGCTATTTCACCCTGTCCACGTAAGTTCGAGTCTCATTGTTGGCCTAGGGGGAAAAGCTGCCAGTAACATCCCACAAGTTAAGTATCGTCAGTATTATAATCAATAATGTGTGGATGAATAACTTTCATCAAAAACATAAAATCGGCAATGTTAAATTTTTAATATCAGCTCGATAAATGCCTGTAATATGCTTAACTTTCTTTTATTCATGCGCTACAATAGAATAAAATTGGGTACCTCACTGACTTCTGTTTTAACTTAGTGCCGACATTCCTGGTAAAGACCCAGCGTAAAAATAATGACATTTAAAATGAAACTTCACTTGTTTAAAGTGTTTGCAATCTGTTTCATCGGAATCTGCTCTACATTAGAAGAAAGGAGACTTGAAATTTCCTACAAAGAACTGAAAAGAAGAGGAGATTTTCCTGGTATGCGTAAAGACGGTTACCAGTACCTGAATATATCCTCTATTGGTTTGGGGCAATGCGGACAGGAATGTGTCTTACGACGCAATTGCAAGTCTTTTAACTACAACTTGGAAACCTTCGAGTGTGAACTAAATAAGGAAAGTGTACTTAGCAAACCATACGAGGGGTGGACGGACGATCCAAAATGGTTTCATGGCTTGAAAGTTACTTGGATTAAGGTATGAATCTGTATTTTCTTCTCTCGTACCCGGCCGAAACTGGTGAGCCAGCATTATACGCCGGAAACTAGTATATTTATTTTAGCATAGTGGTTAATCAGTGACGTCACTCAAGGAACGGTGACGTCATTCCATAATGGCTCGTTCCTGACCGTCTCCACGCCCATCTCAGAACTGCAATGACTGGTTGGTAGCGTCACATTAGGTTAAGATACACATAGCGTCACATAATCTGTGGTATCATCGCTGTTGAATATGCATTTTTCAACTCTATAAACGAAGCTGAAGTAGTTGGAACAGTTGACGCTAATGCTGATGCGTCCGTCTTGTTTTGACCACTAGTCTGGTCCCCTGCTTAGTATGCTCCCTGCGATGCACTCCGCTATACTATACTAGGGAGCATACTAAGCAGGGGACCAGACTATTTGCCTACCAGCTATCGATTGGATATTGCGGTCAGTTGACTACCCGCCACGTGATTGAAATTCCGAGCAAATTACGAAGTTCGCCGAAGTCTCCATGAAATGGTCTATTGTTGTACTTTGTTCAAAGATTTAGGCTAATAGTCACCTGGGGTATTGAGACCACAGGAATTGCAACAAATTAGGTAGCGAATGTATTATCCCGTTCAACCGACCTCCCTGGTGGTTCCGTAAGATCGTGGCGAAATCAACGTCTCGTAATTCCAACTTATTTTGGCAAGCCAGTACCATCTGCAGGCAAATAGTAAAATCTGTCTCCATAACGGTTAGTCAGTGACGCAACGTGAATTATATAGGTGGCACTCCTTTGTTTTTGTATTTTGCATAAGGGTTAAATTTTTAAAGAAAAATAATTTTCCAGGATTTTCTCACTTGTTATTCTGACTATTTAAAAAGTCTCCATATATCTTAGATATTATTAAAAGAACTTCAAATTCCCTATATTTTGGTGTATGATTGATAAGCATGATTTATTATAGAGCATACAGCTTGGCCTTACTTTAGATGTGCATCTGTCAAACAACTGCTAGCTCCGCTTGGTCATTTTCAGTTCCTTGCCTTCAACGGTAAATTGTGAAAAGAAAAAAAAAATACCGATGACTTTATTTTGTCTCTTTATATATTTTGCAATTCATTTATTGCACTTTCAGAAGCTGGTATTGTCCAGTCTGGCAAAGTTCGTTTTCCCTATTGAAAACCTGCCAAAACATGCGTGAACAGTCATTTTGGTTCGCTGTGTACTTCACCTTACACCTGTCACTGTCCCAGAAGTACATAACTTTTGTATATCTTCCCCCCATATAGATGACATTATTATTATTCTTACTTTATGATTTAATTTTGGTTTTATAGCCGAAACATCCAAAACGCGAGCATCCAAGCAGTCCTTTGCAATAATTCTTATGTTTTACCACACTGAACAGTATTTATTAGCAGAAAGTGCCACCTATGACCAGCCCCCTTCCCCTCCATAATGAAAAGTGAGCTATTTTACACACACATATTTTATTTTCTCAACATAGCAACCATTGTTATAATGAAAGACAGGACCGTGAAACTTTCCAAATTTATTCCTGAGATGTCACTATTAAATAGTACAGGTCGAGAAGGGTTGTAATTGATAAAGTTTATGGAGGTCAATGGTCAACGGTCAAAATATTTGCAAAATATTCTTCTAACACTAGCATACGGAAGAAATTGATTATACTTCGTTTATGTTTTCGTAATTTAATACCTGGTAAAGTCAGTGTACTTAGGACTAATTCATGTTGATTCTCGAGCACACGGGAACAGTACTATTGGTCAGCTGTGTGCTCAGATCATGTACAATTTTCACAAGTACGATATTTAAAGAAATATCAGCCAGATACATAAAGCACAATATAGGTATGCCACCTTTCAAATGTCACTAGTATGTATTATCAGTAGAACGTCATCTACACTGCATCATTTGCTTGATAGTTTCCACAACCGCATGGTGCATCGTGGGTAGAAAATAAGTACAGAAAATTAGGACCGATTTCGAAAATGGCTGGTGAGTTATCTCCTTTCCCACTACCACCAGAAGGATGATGCTGTAGTCAGCAAATGTCAGCTAACCACTTCCCCCCCAGCCCATTCCCCATCCTCTCCCTGCCCCCGAAAACTAATTTTTCTTATCAATGATAGAACAGGTTTGCTCAAAATTTGGAACAACAATTTGGGATGCTGCGTTGCAATACTTCTTTATAATACGTCATGTTTCGAACAAACATGGAATTTATTTGGCTTGTTTACAAAATGATGGTTACTTACTTATATCTTTTTAACCGTACAATATAATTTTGCTTCACTAATTGCAAAAAATATTGTAATAAAATTAAGGAGATGGGGATTTAGTTTAAGCAATTTGTAGGTTTGTGTGATTACTTGTTTGATAATTGAAATTCGGTTCAATGGGAAATATTCCTTGGCACGAAATAATTAGTCAATTATTAGGAGCAAACGTCCCTGAAAGTGTTAGTGAGTTTCTTAGATGCAATGGTCAATATGCGAATTCAGACCCAATTCGCATAACTGTCCCTGTCGTGATGTAATACTTTATAAAATCTAGTGGTGTACATCGGTGTTGTGACTGCAGCGGTAGTATTTATGGCAGGAAACCGGTAAATTACACAATGGAATAAATGAGAAAGGAGTCAGAAGATACCGTTTATGTCGCCATTGTGGCAAATGTGATGTAGATTTACTGGTGTGATGTACCTTGAAACTGTAGATCGACTGTCCTCAGTTGGCGAAGTTATAATAAACCCCAGTGTTAGGGATAGTTGTATAATTTCTATGGTGTGAACTACTGGCGGAACAGAAAGTTAATGTAGATAAACTGTGCAGATGTGCGGTTGATGGTTATTTGGAAAGTTGCAAATAATGTGGTCTTACACTGATTAGTGAAAACTTTATGTATAGAATGGAAACGTCGGGCTTTCTAACTTACAACTGAAGATGTATAGAAGTCTGGAAATATGGGGTAAACTTATGACTTCTAGCGAGATTCGCGCCATAGCGCCAGGGTTTTGACACCGCTCGGTAAAGCAAAAGACCCGTGGCTTGTAACAATATATCTAGATAATTTCTGAGATAGCAAGAAA